GATGTATTCATTTCTCCAAGAGAATTATCCCATTGTTTGACCATGAATGCTGGCTTCATTAAGTAGAACTCTTGTTTCTCTGTCTACTCTGTCCATTAAGAGAAAGGGAAGGAAGGGAATGGTGTTCACTTACTGAGTGCCATTTGGGTACCTGACACATGTGAGGGTCTTGGATATGTTACTTCACTTGATTCTTAAAACATCCCTGTAAGGTAGATGTTCAATTTACAAACTGAAAGAAAAAATAATTCAGAAAGTTTAAATAATGTACCCAAATTTATCCATGGTCAGTGGAGGAGTCAAGTCCATGGACTCTCTTTGGTATGCTGAGAGGCCTTGTCTTCCTTGCCTCCTATCTCTCTTCAGTGTAGCTCTTCAGCAGGCTGTGCTAGAGATTTCCTTTTAAAATAAAAACCTGCTTAAAGGCCTTTGATGGCTCTTCAATACCCACTCAAGGTAAATAGTTCAATATCCATTCAAGGTAAACAGTCCAAGCTCTTTAGCTTAATAATCAAGGCCTCAACAATCTGGCTCCAATCAGATATTGCAGGCTCACTTCCCACTTCTCTTCCGATGCATTCTAGGTTTTCCGTGAGGATGCCTTTTTGTCTTTGTTCATGCTATACTTGCTGCCTACATGCCCTTCCCCTCCTTCTCTGCCTAAAGAGATGCTAGTTTTCTTTTAAGGTCCACTCAAATGTCACCTTCTTGGTGAAGTCTTCCCCAGTGTCTCTGGGCTCAATGAAACCTCCTCTGCCTTCTCAATATTACAGAAGACATTGCAGAGTCCTCTTTTGCATTGTTATGGTTCTTTGTAGACTAAGAGTCTTAAGAACAAGCACTGTCCTTTACACTTATTTGCAGCTCCTGGCACATAATAGGAGTTCCATAGATATATGAAGAATAGAATTGAGGTCTAATCCTTTTCCACGTTAGCCCTTCAATTATTTGATGACCCTTCTAAGGCCTTGCCCTACTCCTATTAATAGTTATTTCTTTTGCAGGCTAAATGTTCCCAGCTCCTTCAGATTCCTGAAGTCTGATTTCCAGACTCCTTATCTACTCATTTTGTCAACATGCCTCTTTTAAAATATGATGCCTAGGACAAACTCAATAGCCCAAAGTCTGGTCACAGCAGAACAAAATGAAGGGATTCCAATTTGTGATTCCAATCTATGATGTTTTCTTAGCCATTACTGTGTGCCAGGGGGCTCTGCCTACTTTTTTTTCTTTCACTGTTCAATAATCTAGTGAGGTAGGTGTCATTTCTCCCATTTTATAGATGAGGACATAAGCCATCTGGTAAGGCACTTTGAGAGCAAGTTAAAGTCACAAGCCCAGAGCACAAAGGGAACTTGTGATCAGCTGATACCTTTAGATCATTCTTATATCAACTACTGTAAAGTTATTCTTTTTCCACATACCAGCTAGTGACAGGCTTATGTTACAGTGAAGGGCAATGGAGGACAAAAAGAATCAGTACCTTTAGAAGAATGTGAAACCAAAGCACAGAGAAAAGGCAGGTTGGATTAATGGCCAACTTCCTAACAATAACAGCCTTTATCTAGGAGCTCAGAGACTGGAATATCTCAACCACACAGCTTCCTGGAACTATTTTTACTTTGTATTTTACCAGAGAAGCAAGAGCAGAAGTGTCTTAGAGAAACAACAAGGTTTAGGCTCAGCACACGTCTGAATCTGAACAGCCAGTGGGGCCTTGTGGTCACAAGGCAGGTCATAAGGAGGCTCTCTTTGGTCTGTGACTTGGGTCTGAGAGGGTCCTACTGTGCACATTCATTCTATGGTGATACAGACTGATCACCAACTGTTTTCCAGACATGGTGCAAGGTGCTGTGGATGTAATGAAGAACAGAGTTCCAATCTTGTGGAGCTTACAGTCAGGTGAGAGATAGGCATAAATGCAAATGATAAGTACACATCCTAGTAAATGGAATGATGAATGAAGGTGCCAGGCTACAAGGAGAGCAAAAGGAGGAGCATTTAATTCACCCTGGGGTGAGGGTGGAAGAGAAGATATCAAAGGAAGTTCCTGGAGAAGGTAGTCTTAATTGATGTGTAGGACTTAATGTGGTGAAGGCTCTTATGTATTTTAATGCATCTCCCAGCCCCCCACCCCCTGCAACACACACACTTAATCAGAAACCATCTTTTCCATTTCCTTCACCAACTCTTCCACTGGGTCATCAACAACATGGTAAAAAACAAAACAAAACAAACAAAAAAAACCCCTACTCAACTGTTTCCTCAACTGTCAGTGCCAGAATAATCACTCCTTTTTGCTGTAATATAATGTAGAAAAGAGCAGACCTGGGGTTTTCTAGCATACCTCCTTAAAAAAATTACATCCTGATTAACTTGCCTATTGCTTCCCTCTCCATTGCCTCTGTATTGCTTGGGTTCCCCACACCTGTGACCCAAAGGTTACAGGGTCTGTCATAGCCCAATTCCGCTCTCCAGCTGCCTCTTGGTTTTTAAACCTCCTTATTAAAATCCAAACATTAAATAACTAATAACACCCGTGTGTAATTAGTTTAATTAAACCGCACAAAGCTGTTAATATGTTGTGCTGTGCCCTAGGATACTAAGTGGAATAAAAGCAAAGCACTATATTCAAGGAAACTACAGTCTAACTTAAAATACTGCAATGGGATACATTTCATACAGAGATATTTACCAAGTGACAGTGGAGAGGAGGGAGCAATGAGTTCTTCCTGAGAAGTGTCAGAGAAGTTTTGAGCTGGATCTAAAAAAGCAGCAGGAATCCAAAGGACAATATGCATACTATTTATTTGTTTCTAGCAGATGTGGGAATATCTCCCTCAAGCCAAGCCTTATCTAAGGTACAGGTGTGCATAAGGTTTCTGATCTCAAGAAGCTTTCAGCCTAGAAAGGGGGTTTAAAAATATATGCCAATAACAGCAACATAAACTATGCCATGGACAGAGTTACAGAACAAACTGCTAGGGGAGTTCGTAGAGAAAATGTTTAAGAGAACACTTCTCACTGGATGTAGCAGGCAGAATTCTAAGGTAGCTTCCTGGATTAACCTTCATGTATATCTTCTGCCTAGTCCCTGGGACAGCGGTTATGGTGAATTTTACCCCTGTGATTAGGGTATGTGATGTGACATAGCTGACCTTAAAGTAGGAAGATGATCTAGGTGAGCCTGACCTAATAAAATCTTTCAAAAGCTCACAGTGTTCTCTGACTGTCTGAAGAAGGGAAATCAGAGATATTTAAAGAATGAGAGGGATTTGAAATGAGAGAGGTTCTCTGTTGATAAGAGGGACCATGTGGCAAGGACTTGAGAGTGGTCCCCAATAGATGGCTGGCAAAACAATCTAGCTGTAGGATCCTAGTCCTACAGGGACATGAATTCTGCCAAAAGCCCCAAAGAGCTTGGGGCAGACCTTTCCCACATGGAGCCTCTAGACATCATTTCAGCCTTATGACACCATGAACAGAAAACCCAGCCACACCATGCCAGTTTTCCAACCTACCGAACTGTGAGTAAGTCAATGGGTGTTGCTTTCACCTGCTAAATTTGTGCTACTTTGTTATGCAGCAATAGAAAACTAATATAAGCACTTATGGCATTGTGCTCTCATTAGCTATTGACACACTAGTTTCCCCAACTACGGGCTCCTTAGATTTAAGCTGTATCTAATTATCCTTGTAACCTCAGAGCTCTTCATGAGACAGGTACTCCCCAAAACACCATGGTATGAAAGTTTAAATTAGACACAGGGATGCAGATCAGAACTTGGATACATGCTGACCATTTTCATTTCTTAAGAATGGACAGATGGATAGTGAGACCCATACCAGGATACAAGGAGGCAGCCCCCCTTCAGCCCAATGCACCAAGACCCATTCCAGAGGCAAAGCAAGTAATCCAGGATCAGCTGTCCCAGCTGCTGCCCCAGCCTTGCTTAAGTGGACTTCCCTCCAAGGAGCATTGGTCATAGAAGGATGATTAACAGGACATTCCTGTGTGACCTGAGGATCGCCATGTTCTAAATGGTGCCCACACCCACTCCACATCCAGTTCAGCAAAGGTCTCGGGGATTTATTGCACTCTATTTTCCAGAAGCCAAAATAGAAGCCAAAAAGTCAGTTTCCTAAGCTGCTAAAATAATGTGGTGATTAAACAAATTGTGCGCCAGGGGCAGTAGCTCAGCTTGTAGTCCCGGCGCTTTGGGAGGCCAAGTCAGGAGGATTGCTTGAGGCTAGGAGTTTGAGACCAGCCTGGGCAAAGTGGTGATACCCTCGTCTGTACTGGGCCTGGTGGCACACGCCTGCAGTCCCAGCTACTGAGGAGGCTGAGGCAGGAGGATCACTTGAGTCCAGGAATTTGAGGTTACAGTGAGCTGTGATGATGCCACTGCACTCCGACCTGAGCGACGAAGTGAGGCTTCATCTTTAACAAAACAAAAATAGAATTGTGTAGCCAACATTGGTGGTGGGCCTGTGCACTGTGTCTGGCCCGCCTCGGGCTCACTGCGTAGTTGTTGAGGGGATGAATGCAGTGGGGACCCGAGTACGCTGACACTCTCTAGGGCCTCCGAGCGCTAACTCATCTCTCAGCGACTTTCCGGGTGCAGTGCAATCGTGTTGAAGAGGCCTCTGGGTGGAGATGCGAAGTAGTTCGCCCAAGGTCACTACATGGCCAGCCACCAGCCGACAGGGAATCGCCCGAGGCGAGGCCTGCGTCAGCCGGTCTTGGGGCCCCGGCCGATGGCTCCTATACCGGCTCCGCGCGGCCTCGTAGCCAGCTATTGGCGGCGGCGGGATTCGAACTCGAATCCTCGTCCCCGCGCCCGCTCAGGCCTCAGTTTACCCATCTACGAGACGCGAACCGGAGAGCTGGTGCGGGCGCCGGTGGGGCCCCGGGGCCGGGGTCGGTGAGCTGATGGGGTCGGGCAGGGCCGGGTCCCTGCGCGCCCTCCCTCCTCACCGCGCCGCCCCGCCCCGCCCCCCGCGCGAGCTCAACGGCCGAGGCGCGCGCCACCTCGCGGCGGGAGGCACGGGGGAGGGGTCGGGGGAGCCCCCGCCCCCGCCCCCGCCCCCGCCTCAGCCGCCGCCAGCTCGGTGGAGCCCCCCGCCGCCCGCCCGCCGCTCTCCGGAGCCGCCCGTCCTCCCCCTTCACGTGTCCCCGCTCCCTCCCTGCGTAGCGGAAACATGGCGGCGGGAAGGGAGTGAGCCGCCCCGCGCCCCCGTAGCGCCCGCAGGTAAGCGCCTCGCGGCCGCCTCCCCCAACTAAAGAGCTCGCGCCCTGAGGGGCCGCCCGGGGCGAGAGGGCGGTGGCGGGACATGCCCTGCCGCTGCGTCCGCTCGCCGGGCCGGAGTCCGCCTGTCCGTCTGTCGGGCGGGCCTGCCAGTCTGTGGTCCGCGCGGGGCCGGGCCCTCTCCCGGCGGTGTCAGCCCGGCCCCGAGCCCGGAGGCCGGTTCTGCATCTGCGGTCGGGCCGGCGGCCCTGACGCGGCCGGGGGCCCTTTGGAGGGTCGGCGTGGGGCGGTCCGAGGGGGGTCGCCACGTCATGGTCGGCGGGGCCGGGTGAGTCGGGGGAGGCTGGCTGGGGGCAGAGGGCCGTGCGGCGGCGCGATCCCGTCAGCGCGGGTCAGTCGGTCCCCTCTGGCGCCAGAGGTGGGAATGCCTGTGGTCCTGGCCGGCCAGGTCCCGGTTCGGGGCAGGCAGAGACCGAGGTCGGCGGGGCGGCGTGGCCCCCACCGAGAGCGAGGGCGCCTAAGGGCCCGAGCTGTCAGCAGCGTCCTCGGGGCTGGGCCCCGGCGACGAGAGCCGCGCCAGCCGACTCACGTGTGCCACCTGCCCCGGTGCCCCGCCGGAAGCGGGCAGTGAGAGCAGCCCCGCACCGAAGTGAGCCAGCGGCCCCCGGGGCTGGACACGTGGGCAAAGCTGTGGGCCAGCCCCGAGAGCATGGAAAGGAGTTTCCAGCCGATGGGTGAACCCCGGAATGTCTCCTGAGTGGAAGGGAATTTAAAAGTCATTTAGGGGCCTTTTCTCCCATCCCATGCCAAAGTGTCTTTGAAAATCCCCAAATCCCCCCTGATAATTAGACAAGCTCGTGTGGAACCTCTTCCAGTGATGCGAAGTGAATCTCTTTCCAAGGAAACTCATTCTGTTCCTGGGCAGATTTGCTTATAAGTTGAAAGAAACAGCTGGCTCCCATCTTTCCTAGTTCTTTTCCCTGATGGGCAGCAGTTAAGATATCTGAAGATAGTAATCATGTCCCCTGAGTCTTCACTTCCACTTCCTTCAGTTGTTTCTCATCTGCTGTGGTTCTCTAAACTGCCCTCTGGATGAGCTTTAATTTGCCCATATCCACTTAAGGAGAGTTTCTTAAATGTGAGCATGGAGACAAAACCTAGTGAGTTTCCTTAAGCTCCTTAGCCCCAAGGATTGACCTGCTTTAAATCAAAAGCACACCAGATTCCCTTCCTCATTTCTGTACTATGTTTTGAACTTAAAAAAAAAAAAAATAGAAAACATTTAGTAGTGTTTGCTCAAACAAACTAAAAGACATCTTATTTTGTGAAAATTTTTGGGTTTGCTTTTTAAAAAGTGTATATACTTTACCCAGTGTGCTAACTAATGTACATCAAAATGTTTCATTATGTACATTAAAGTGTAATGTGCCATGCAAATAAAAGAGCTTTTTTTTTTTTTTTAACTCTGGGAAGGATTGAGATCTAGTTTGGTGCCAAACTGCAATTTTAATATTTGGTTGCAGAGGGAAATGCTTTATTACGTTGAACTCTTTGCTCTATTTCTAACTGCCAGCAGAAGGCCCAAAATTACTATGAAAAAGAATACTCTTTGTTGCTTACTTACCAACCTCCTAAACTCTTGCCTAAGCAACTCTGCAGGTTAGTAATTTTTTAAGCCCAGTAGAGATGAGATGGCCTTGTAGATAAAATGCCAAGCTCTTACTTCTGGGCTCCTGTTCAGGTACTAAGCAGCGTTTCACTGTTTTTATAACTGAGACAAGTACATACCAGCAGTCAAAACTGGTTCTTTATTTTTGTTCTTGTGGCTTCATTTTTAAAATTGGTCAGTAGTTTTGAACTTTGTAGCACATATGTCAAGTTTTGATTTTTGGTATGTTTGTGTAAATGCTGTTCCCTTTTATGTAAGTTGGGTAAACATTTGCATAGCACCATTCTCAACGGAACAGAGGAAAGGCCCTGATTCCTTCCTTGCAAAGGACTTGGAGTGAAAGGTAGAGAATACTTAACTGTGCAAAAGAATTGATGTGAATATCCCACTGAAAATTTAAACTTGGGGCTGAATGCAGTGGCTCATGCCTATAATTCCAGCACTTTGGGAAACTGAGGCAGGCAGATCATTTGAGGCCAGGAGTTCTAGACCAACTTGGGCAACATAGCAAGTCCATGTCTCTACAAAAAATAAAAAAATAGCTGGGCATGGTGGTGCATGCCTCTAGTCCCAGCTACTCAGGAGGCTGAGGCTGGAGGATTGCTTGAGTCCAGGAGTTTGAGGCCTCAGTGAGCCATGATCACACCATGGCAAGTGACAGCATGAGACCGCATCTTTTAAAAAAGAAAAGAGAATTTAAACTTAGTATGTTCTAATCTTCACTGTACACTTTTGTACCTACTATGGGTCAAGCACTGTGCTATGTACTGTGCTCAGTTGGGTTTACAAAGATTTCCAATCTTGTGGATCTGGTAAATTAGATGCTTAAATAGATTATCTCAGAATAAAAGGTGAGAACTACGAGTAGCTGAGATACACAAGGTCAGAGCAATGGTTGTCCAAAGGTGAGGCCACTTAGACTAGCCTAGGAGTTAAAGGAAGACTTTAGAAAGCAATGATATCTGACCAAATCTTAAATGGTAAGTAGCAGTAAGCTAGGCAAAGACGAGCAGAAAGTGCGCTTCAAGCAGAGAAAACAGCTTGAGCAAAGGCATCAATGTGATAAAAGGAATGGCTTGCATGGAGAACCACAATCAGTTTAGGACTGCTAGGAATATAATAGTAGAGATACAAGTGGTCATTTGTAAGGCTGGAAATACAGGCAGTGGCCATGTCATGGTGGACCTTGTGTGCATAAGTATCCTGAAAACAATTCAGTAGGTGGTGTTTTTTAAAATTTTTATTTAATCACGGAAAGATGTCTATCAGATGTTTTGAAGTAACATTTTCAAAATGTGGTCATGGGGATGAAGAGAAAAAAATGAACCTGAGAAAATGTATGAGGCTTTAATGATTGGTTGTATCTACAGGTGAGAGGGTGAGGATTCCAGTATGATGCCCATGTTTTTGCCTTGGATGACTAAGGATATGTTGGTAATTTTAACTGAGACAGGAAAAAATTGATGATGAATTTAATTCTGGACTTGAAGATTTTGCAATTTCTTGAGTTAGACTGATGAACAAATATAGTGGAAGTAAGCTGAGGAAAAAAGAGGTGTGGTCAGAAAGTGGAATATTGGATTTAGGTTGTCGGATATGGGACTGTTCTAGGTGATAGTTAGGTCTCTGTGTATGGGCAGTTAAAATACAGCAGAGGGAATTTAACCATACTCAGTAAAGCTGAGATGACAAGGAATTTCGAGGCTAGTGTATTGAATGAGTCATCTGTGTGGAGAGTGAATTGATTTAGGATGATGGGATGTGGGGGAGAGAGAAAGATGTGACCCAGGTGCAGTAAGGAGAGGGGATTATTCAGGAGGCTGGTAGATGACAGATGAGGAGGTGGGGTAGAGAGTGATATAGCCAGATGGTGCAAACCTCAAAGGAGTGGGGGGGTTAAATACAAAAGTGAGAAAGTAATAGTTTTTTTACTTTTCCTTCCTGGAAGCAGAGTTCTGATCTCTTCATTTTTCTTTAGGACTCGTATTAATCATTCTGTTAGCTCTGAAGAGTCTGTTCTTAGTCTTGGAAAGTTGGAGGGCACATACCACATATTGAATCCTTTCTGCTAATACAAAGGGCAGTGGAGGTTTTTTCCTCTGATGATTATTAGTGGGTGGGTAGGGAACAATCAGATAAAGCAGTGAGGCTATACTCATGGTTTTCTAGGCAGAATATAGTGGAAGGAGCCTAGGCTTTCTTTGGAGTTAGAAACACCAAAATTCAGATCTAGACTCTGTCACTTACTAGCTTTATGACTATAAACAAATTGTTTAGCCTCTGTGAGCTTCAGCGTCCTTATATGTAAAAAATTTGTACTTCATAGGATGTCACAAATGTTACATGAAAAGAATGTACATACACAAGTACACATAAAATCACAAAAAAAGCAATTGGTGATTCATAGATACAAAGTATATGTTAGTTCCTTTCTTCCTTCCTTTAAGGGGCTTATGCTTTGCTAGCTGAAATGAACCTTTTTCATGCTTACCTAAATTATAAGGTAAAACATAGTAGGTACGCTAAAGGAGGCAGTAGCAAAGTGAGACAGCAGTTCAGAGGTAGGAGCTGTCATTTCTAAACAAGGTTGGGCTTCATTTTCAAAATGAATTTTACTTGGGCCTTGAACAAATTTCAGAAGAGTAAATATTTTAGGTAGAGATATAACAAGGGAAAGTATGTGGTGTGGTATGTTTGCTAAAAATTGATAGCTACCACAGGTTTGAGTATTGTATTTGTATAAGTTAATAGTGGTAAATGTGGCTAGAGAGATGGGCTGGGACCTTGGTATTAAAGATCTGAAACTGTGATGCAATTTTGGGTTGATTCTAGATATATTAGGGAGCCATACATTGAATGTCCTTTTCTCTACCTCATTTTGCTATCTGTAAAATGTATAGGCATCAATTCAGAAACTTCCAATTTTTGTTTTAAATAAATAAGAAATTTCACACTTGAAAATAAGTTCCTGTGTAGGCCAATTTTAGGTATAAAAAAAATCTACTAAGATTTGTTTTGTAGTTGTAGGTTAATCTTTGCAATAACCTTGTTTGATCGATAGGCTTAGTGAGGTTAAGAAACAAAAGATCTCACTGGTAGAAGTCACCAAAGAAGCTCTAATTTCAAATTCTGTCTTTTTCATTACACCATACCGATTTAGATTTGAAAGGAAACCTGAGTTACTCAATGTCACTAAAAATTAACTGCACAACCCCTGGCATATCACTTTTGCTTTGTCATTTATAAAATGAAGGAGAATGTAGCTGTAAGGTTTAACTAAGATAAAGTGCAAAGTACTTTACATAATTTTGGTCACATATCAGGCACTCAAATG